GAATTGGGTTTGTTATATAATACATTTTTACTATTAAAAACTTATTGTCAAATTGTAAAATTTATNGATGCCACACAATTTTAAGTTTGAGCGTTATAGTACTTTTTAAATCGGAATAATATAAGTGATTTTAACAGTGCTGTTAATTGTATTATTGATTTAGTTTGTAGATACAATGGTAATTATAATAATTTTCATTGTAGAAAAATAATGTAAGACTGAAGAGAGGTACAAATAAAAAAGTACCCGAAATGCATATCGAAAATAAGGTTATGTTATGAAATAAGGCTATCATTAGCTTACAAGATCGGTTGATAAATCTGGAAAACAGGCAAATCAGTTAACCTATTAACTAATTATTAATATATTCAACAAATTAAATATCTGATATGAGATAAGATGACTGAATTAAAGATTATATACAAATTTCATAGTTTTTACCGGTGTATTTCCTGATTAAATATTACAGATAATAAAACACGTGTCTGATTAAATATGAGTAGGTTTTCATTATTAAAAATTTACACTAGTATAATTTCTTTATAAAATTTTTAAAATTATCATCATAATCGTAAAAATTTTACATTGTCCTAGGATATTTTTCAATATCGATGAATTTCCATCAGAATTTTCGAGGCAGATGATACAATATATAAAGATGCAAATCTTGTCAAGAACATATTCTTCAGTTCAAGCTCACTTGACAAAACTCGAAGGAAAAGAGATGAGTTCTCTAGCATTTTTAGTTTTCCTTTCATTGGTTTATTCTTCGCATATCCTATTTAATTCCACTAAAGACAAGTAAGTAGACTTACTGTATTTTTAATTAGATATAAATTATAATATTTTAATTAATTTTTATTTTTGATAGAGCCGTCGATGTTTTTAATAAGGCTTTTGATAAAGTAATAGAAAATAACAATCGTGATGTTCGTATGAGAATGAAGGTTGCTTGTAAGGATGGCTCATTTTGTACGGCGTACACTTCGATATTGAAAATGAATTTGAATCAATTAGACTATTTGCAGAGATCGTTGTCGGGTCCTGCAGTTTGTAGTCGGACGGCTGGATTTTCACATCCAATTCAGCCCGAAATCCAGCAAAACGGCTTGACTTTGGTTGCGTATTGCCAAACGACGTTTGAGACGATTCGCGATACAATTAATAACCAATTGAGAGTAAGAGGGAGATGCGTAGAGAAAAGGAGAATTTGCAGCTATGGCACTGGCTACAGATGCCAAATGATAAATGGAGTATGTTACTATGTGGAAAGAACGGTTAAAAATGCTTCTACTGTTAGCCCAAGAGATAATTAANCGTGCATCTTAGGCAAATGGTGCGAAGAATTGTGCATGAATAATATGCACATCTCGATATGGGAAACGACTGGTTTCTCTGAACATCAAGCAAATCAGAACGTTTTCATCGTTCACCAGCCAGAGAACCTCGACGAGAGGCCTGTAGAAAAGCTTCAATGGTTAACAAGATTCCTCATGAAGTTTTCCATCTACCAATTCCCCGGACGAAAGTAAAATGAGTCTGTTGAGCGAACAATAAGTAGAATGCTCCCATCTGCGCAGAAGCAAGATATTCTTGTTCCTTCCTCAATGAATTATTATGTAAATATAGAACATTTGGTAAATGACAAAGAGGAAAAGCAGGAGAAGCACACTAAACTATGACGTTGGTTTCGGAATATATTCCGCTGGCGTCGTCGTTAAATTCGTACAGCAGCTTCCTTGTACCCAGACAGACTCTTCCCAGATTTCATTCTAATACATGGTACTTAGTATTGAAGTTTGTGTTTTACTAAATTGTCCCGACTTTAAAATTAGCATCATCGTTTATTCTGCAATAAGAGTATACAGCAAGGACTCGGAATATTGAAAGTACATTCAGCAAATAAAGATAAATTTTTAACGGTAAACATCTATTATATAGTTAGAAAAAATACTGTTTTATTAGTCTTCATTAAACATTAATTATAATTTAGAATTAATTTTGATATTTTAGAAATTTTACTTTATAAATATGAAAAATATTCTGTATTTATAAATTAATTTTAATTTTAAGATGTTCTATGAAGGAATATTAATTATAATTAAATATATTGATGTTTAAGCTCAGCAGGATTACATAAAATTTGAAATATTAGCTAGACAGCACACAATATTTATATAATTCAGCTATTTTTTAAATACATTCTTTCCTTATTTTGGAGATTAACAGGCCCTTACTGAGGCTCGTTATTAATTCGATCAGGCCCACAATGAATGATGAGGGACACCCTCGAATTCTATTCGACATGTAGATATTCCACAGCACAGGAGGTCAAAAACTTGTGCTGTCGAATGTCTACATTTCAATATGCGCTTATAACAGCAGAAAATTTTCTGTTATACATTGAATATTCTTTAGAACGTGAAAGATACAGATTTAATTCGTTGGTGATGGAATAAAACTTCACGAAAACGTTTTGATGTAAACAATTTTTTAGGTTGCTTGAAAAGGTTTGACGTCATTTAGGATGGAGTCATTATTACTTCTTACTGTTGCTAACATCGATGTACAAAACTAAACCCGAAAAATCATGTATCACTTGATTATAAACTTCCAAAATAATTTAATAGAATTTAGGAAATTTGGAATATTTTTAGCATAAATCCATTTATGCAGTTTAAATTTACAATAAAGATATTTAACTTCAAAATAATGACTTATTGAAAACCGTAAGGGAGAAATTTATTTTCTATCGAAATGCATGCAAAGGACATCTCTTGTCAAAGTTATTAATAACTTTTACAAAAAGATTTACTTGATTCAATGAGACAGAGTGATAAGAAAACATAAGAAGAAAGCTATAAGGCTCTGTTTCTGGTTTGATTCTTCATAAATTTATCTAATTATGAATCGGATACATTTATAAAAGGCTATATCAGTAAAATATTCCAGAACAAAATAAAAAATTTTAAACAAAATAAATGTAGTTTAACTTTCAATTGGAAGTGTGAACTTTCGGTATAAAAATAGCTATTCTGGATTATAAATAGTAACGAACAATTTAAACTGTTGACTTCAAACATACGAATAATATATATATATATAATTTTCTTTAAAGTTAAACTGAATTAAAGTGATTATTTCTAATAGATTTTGAGTACGAAAGGTAGATAATGAGCATATTATCTGATACGAACAGCATTCTCTAGTTAATCATACGAAAATAGAAATGTAAACAAGGAAGCAGAGAATAAAAAAATGCATTCAAACGAATAATAAATCAGCAAAGTTTCTGTAACGTAACATTAGTTCAGTGCAGAAGTAGAATCTACTCGTAATTTTATTGATATATTATTGTTTATTACATTTTTACTTAATTTTATGATAATTTTAATAATAAAAACATAATACGTTAAAAAAGCACATATTAAAATATTGTGTAAAAATAAATAAACATACATCTTTAACAACATGTAAATTAATTTTTCTATAAAATTTTCATTAGTTCTTTCAAAAATTTTAATAAATTTTTCTCTTAAATTATATCTAAACATTGCTTTAATGTGTCGACGATGCAGTTGACTATAAAATTGTTCTTTACAATGTAAATACATTTACCAGTTAATGCCTTCAACAGATTTTGAGCTTTTACGATGTGTGTTAATCGCAGTAACACAATCTTTTTTTTACCTTTACGAAACTACAATTTGTTTTTCTTTCAAATACTAAAAATACTACACTACGAAATCGTTCGAGTAACGTTATTCAAAACTGAAGGGTTGGTTAAACACAACACTGTCATGGCCGAAAGCCAAATTAATCATGTGTTAAACAAGGCTTACTGATTATTATCTTAACAAATAGAAGAATTGGTTAAATATGTATTTAAATAACCGCATTTAATTTCAGATTATATATTTACGATTGAATCCTTCTAAAATATTTTCAAAATCGAAAATTTATTGATTTTGATAGCATCGAATAAATATGTGACATGTTAGAATGACTTTACTAGCTGATTATTAATTATGTAAAATTATTGAGTTTAGTTTCAAAATAAATTTTTTTTACCAAATTCAATTTAATCGCTAAATTTAAGCCAAGATTCTTCTCGGAAAGCAGGCTAATTAGGCAAAGGTTGTCTTAATTTTGGCATGTTATGAGACTCATGTCTCTGAAAAAGGATATCATACTGGATGTGGTAAGTGACAGAAGAAATGTAGACCGAGAGTGCATTGGCTGGATGCCATAAAAAAGGATAATGACAAGAAAATGGAGGAATTAAAAGAAGCTGTACGAAACAGAATTAAGACTAAGTGGAGAAAAATGATCCATAGAATAACCGGAATCGTACTCGACTAAACGTTGAGAGAGCGAAATAAGATTGATAATTAAGATTTCTACTCTAATGTTTAGTTTATTCATACCTTCCAATGAATTAAAAAAAACTATGATTACTTTGAAATCGTGTTCCGAATCTTTAATTTGGTTTTCAAAAACACAATGCGGTGTATTCAAAATGTTTCCTATGTGTTGGCCATATGGAGATTTCCAGGTTTTTAGGACTTTCTAAGGGAAACTAGCCTCTATTTAGATGTTACCAATGAAGGAAACCCAGTAAACTCCATGGCAAATCGTTGTCGAAACGCAAACCCACTACTAACGTCCAACTGTTTTATCCGCTCGACTGCTGGTAGTCCTATAGAACAATAGGATTTTTGTCCGAAAGAACAGAAAAATCTGATAACTCAAACTAATTACATATTTCCTTTAATCACGAATAATTCAGCATCTCAATTAACTAGTTAAAGATTTTAATTAGGTATTACTGTTTCATTCTTGCATTGAAAGCGTTTACTGGGTCATTCATATACTACATTGTATTTTTGAAAGCAGAAAAATAATTATAATAAGTAAATTATTCATTAATTTTCTATTTGTTTTTTAAGAAACCAATATAGTTTGACGCCATTCTCTATTTATAATATTGTTTCTAACACATGAATTGTTTACAGAATCGAAGAAATATGATTTTTCTACTCAATATTTTTGGACTTGTATATGTGTTAACTATTGTCTTGGGATTAAATTTCCAAAATAATACATGGAATACCGAACGGAAACATATATCACGTATTCGATTCGCGGAAGAATATAGAATTACTGACTACGAGAAAGAACAATTTATTATTCTTCATAATAAATATAGACAAAATTTAACTCCTCCAGCTGCTGATATGCAGTTCATGGTAAAATTTGTTTATCTGCAATAATTTTTTACTATGCTTATAGCGGGGCGAGACAAAAATCTGGGTTGTTTTTAAAGCATAATATTTTATCGAAAACTTAAAGTAACTATTAAATATTATATATTATTCTAAAAGAAATACATTATTTACAATAGTGTAGAATTAATGATCGTGTTCATTAATTCTACGATTCCACGGTCATATATTTCCAGTAGAGTCAGACTTAATGACTATTTCACTTGTTATTAGCATTTACAATTTTTATAAAACCCATTGTTACAATGGGTTTTATACAAATTTATAAAGTTTAATTTTGAAGGTTACCTTCAAAATTAAGCTTTTTGCCATTTTATAATAATTTAAAAATATAAAAAGTCGTTTTAACAAAATATGATAACAGATGGCGCCACCAAATGTTTCCGGGAAAGTTAAGCAACTGGTTGCTGGCTTTTTTAGAGTAAAAGTCTGATTCTTCAGATCAGTTGTATAGGTTATTTTGCTCGTCAATCTTTCTCTATGCTATTTGGGCCAAATATTCAAAGAAATTCTCAATTGACCGGTATCGTTGCAGATTTTACGAATTATGTTCTTTGGATACAAAAGGAATGTTTTTGACTTTGAGGAATTCTATGAAGCTTTGCCAAACCAAAAGATTAATTGTCATTTTGATGATGCTTGTTAAAAAAATGTATTAGAATTTTTTTACACATTCGTTTTGGTTCGTGTTGACATCAATTGTAAGGGATCAATTCTTAAAATTGGCTTTGAAATACCTGCTGGTGAAATGACAATATACATCATGACTTTCGCTTCAAATTTCTTCTTAAATTTGTACTTCACTTCGGGAGGTCTTGATTTTCATTGCTCGATTAATAAATTTCATTTTCTGGCATTTGCATGCAGGAAAGGGAAAAGTACTTCTTGTCGTTTTGTTTCCAAAATTTCTTACGAGCCATCTGTATTGCGTTTGGATTTCAGTAATTTTTTAGAAGTGCACTCTGGGGTCCTCTTCTTCCTTTTCTTCACACCCATCTTCTTAAGTGTCTTGCCTACGTATGTTCGATGACAATCGAATCTTTTAGTTTTCTCCACCTGGCTAACTGCATCTTTATTGTCAAACATTTGTTAATAGCAAATCATAGCAAATCAATTCTATAAACAAATGTTACATAGAGTTGATTTGCTATGGCCTTCCGCTAAATAATGCTTCATAACTAATTTTTTTGAGTGGTTGACTTTCGTAAATTTTTGTCTCACCCCGTTAACTTATTAATTACCATTAGGATCAGAATAATAGTTTATCGTCATTTATTTTTAGGAATGGAATGACGATTTAGCAAGAATCGCTCAGGATTGGGCTGACAAATGTATATGGGATCACGGAAACCTTCGAGATCCAAAATTTGAAGGAGGTATGGGACAGAACTTATATATGGGTTATAGTCGTTCGCCATTGGTTCACATGAATCTCTGGTTTAAAGAATATCAATATTATGATTATTATAGTAATTACTGTCAATCTGGGAAAGAATGTGGACATTACCTTCAAGTGAGTATAAAATAAATTATCAGAATATTTGTATTGTGCAACTGAAAATTGTTTAATATTTTACTTTACCCGCATTTTTTACAGCTGGTTTGGGCAAATTCTAGAATGTTTGGATGTGGATTAAAGGTTGGCTGTCGGTATCGGAACAGATATTATATTGCGTGCAATTATTATCCTGCGTAAATATTAATTGCCTTTAATTAATATTGAAAATTTTATTTAACGTAATAAATAAATTAAATAAATAATAACTGTAAAAGGAAAATGCAATATTTTTATAAACAATAAGTTATTTTTAAAATCATGCAAATGTATTTTTGAATGCTTTTTAAGCGCTAATTTTCAATATTTTTAATGTAATAGTTTTTATGATTCAACCAAGACAGAAAAATTAGCGTTACAGTTTAAAATGGAATGCACTTTAAGCTAAATGCTGAATATAAAGCTATAATTATTAAAAAAAAAAAAAATTGTCACTAAGATCTTTGAAGAGCTTTAATTGGCTTTCTAGCAAGAATTAGCTCTTTAAAATCAGCAATTTTTCAGTTTTTAGAGTAATATTATATATTTATATGTAAAGCAAATTAAATGTATACAGTATGCGTCGAAATATTGTTGGAAAATGTTGCAAAGCACATTTAATACGAAAAACTTTATATTTATTTGTATACTTATATGTTTACGTATATAATTATAATATAATTATCTGAAAAACGTAATTATTTTATTAATAATAGTAACCTACAAAGAACATATGCATTGGGAGGATTTTGATGTGGACAAAAATTTATACCATATTTGTGGAAAAAGTATACTTTAATAATCAATATAGCTACTCCAGGCCTTTAAAACCTTCCTAAAGCGATCAGGCATAGAATTAATAATATTCCTGCAATTGCGCAATGTAATTTTGTTCCACTCATCCCATAATTAGTAAATACTTTTAGACGGAGCTGTATAGTCAGACAAGCGACGTTTAAGAATGATGTGTTCATTCAGGTTGAGATCGGACGATTGAAGCGGCCACTGAAGCAGACTAATATTTTGATCCCGAAGCCATGACATTGCCCTCTTAAATGCATGTTTTGGATCATTGCCTTACCGATAAATGAAAGAGCTCCTATCAATGTGGTAATAATCAACAGATTGTAACAAATAATTGTCAATTATCTCAGTGTAAATAACGCTATCCATTCTATTAGGTATTACATAGCATTTCTGACCCAAAATAGGTAATACAGGCCCATACCACAAGACTAACCCATCAAATTTCAATGTTGTTTGTATTTCTTGCTCAGTTATACACTTCATCAATGTAGTCCATACCCATTTTCGCCCATCCGAACCAACTCTATTCATTTTGGATTTATCTGATCATGCAATCCTCTTCCAATCTTCTAAGGTCCAATCTTTATAGTGTTTGGTAAAATTAAGACGTTTCTGTTTATGTAATTTGGTAAGTTTAGGCTTCTTGCTTTCAAATTATTACGTTTTGGATAGTTGAAGTACTCACTTCTATTCTTGTTTCAATTCCCTCTCTACTTGTGATGATGTATCGCAACGTCCACTCGTTATCAAACGTTTCTGTTTCGGTGCGCAACGTTTTCTTCCTGCCAGCTCTTAAATTTTCGTGATATGGCAGCTCATTATTTTTTATTCTGGACACACTCGAACGCCCAACAGCAACTTCAACTGCTGAAGAAATGTTTTTCTCAACAGGTTCATAATGCAGAATTTCTTCTCGCTGATAGCTTCTTCATGATGACATATCAAGCAGCAGCTCATTTGCGTACGCTAATATGTCGTTAATATGCACGAAATTACATTGTTTAAAGTTGATGTTGTAACAAATTAACTTATGCGTCAAAACCCTCCCAATGCAACGAGCAAAATTTATACACCATAGATATTTTTAAAATATGAAAATTATTTTAATTTTTTTGTCATTATGTGAATATTGCAATAATGTTACAACTGATTTATTTCCTTTTTCTTTTACGTTCGCATATCGAATAGTTTTGCTATTTTTCTATAGTAAGTACGAATTTTGCGAGGATTTTGACGCTTACTGTATTTATTTCTCGTATAATCCCATTCGGACCATCATACCCTGTTCCTGATCCACGCTAACCCAATTCCATTATAATACATTCATGCTTGTAACAAACAAATTGAAACTTTCCACAGAACTGGTGTATTTGCTGGTTACACAATTCATTGTATATTGATATCTTATATTAAAATATTAAATTGAATCATCCAAAATTTAAATTTTATCGTTTTCTTTGTGAAAACAACCATTTTATTGTTTTCTGAAGACTAAATTTGAGAATTATTAAATTAATATTTATATTTTCCATTTAAATATATCAAAAACAATATTTTATTATTGATACACTTCTATATTTTCTTTTTTCCGTACCTTTTGTAATCGTTCAACATGCTTTGCAATATGATATAGTCTGTGTGTATATAATTACATCACGAAAAATACATTTCATATTTTATAAATAAATATTTATAAAGTTCATATGAAACGTCAAATATGTCATATCGTTGTTCTTCCTTGATGTAAGTAGATACAAGAATGCTTAAATGTATAGACAGCATATAGGCGAAAGTTAATATAAAGGTGACTTCATACTGATGATTTATTAAAGTTTATAGAAATATTTTTTTCTAATATTTATGACTCCATATAACTTAATATATCTTCCTTATAAATCTTTGAATATGTAAATAGAAAAACATTTTTATTTAGAAGCTAACAGAGAAATTAAATTGTTATAAAACAAATGACTTGCAGATTTATCGGAAATTCCTAGTCTTTACATAATTATTCTTATTACGTATTAAATACGTATAAAAACTGATTGAGTAAGAGTCATAAAAAGATTAGAAGAGAGCTGTAAAGCTTTGCTTCTTCTAGTGTGATCCTTTATAAAGTAATCTGATTAAATTACATACATTTTTAATGAATCATTTTAATAAAATATTCGAATAGAAAATAAATATAAATTAATTTGATTTTTACGATAAAATATAAAATCTCGAACTCTTCGAAAATTTTTAACAGTAAATTAGCTTTCAATAAAATTTTCCCTTCTTTACGAAACTACCCACGATACATAAAATATTACTAATCAATATTTTTTAATTCAAAAACATGTAAATATTTTTATTAAGTAAAAACTTACAATATGTAAGAAAATAAACGAATATTTATTCTCTCGATATTCTTAATGGTAAATTCGTGACTAAGAGGAAATTTTTTATCTTTTACTTACATTTGTCTCGCTTCAGTGTGCATTAATGCACATGAAATGATTCATTTGACCAATATTTCATCACAAAATTCGCAAATTTTGTTTTGTTATTACAGCGTATTTGAATATTCCATTTGCGACTGATTCTGCAAACAAAAGAAAGGTTCTAACCTTTCTTTTGTTTACAGAATCAGTCGCAAATCTCGAAACTTAGAACAATGATTCTTTATTAACTTCATCTAAGAATCACTGTTTTAAGCTACAAGTTTGTGACTGGTTTACAGTTCGACTAACAAAAAGAAAATTTTAGCTGTTGTTAAATGGAATATAAAAAGCCAGCATCTGATGAATAAGATATTTAAGACAACTTTCTATAAAATTAGATTTTAAACTAGAGTTTAAATTAAAAATATTGAATTAATTTAGATGATAAATGTCATGTTTTCTTAATAATCGTGTTTTTTTATTCTTAAAATTAAATAAAGTTTAATTATTAGCTAGTTAATATTTATTATTATTATTTTTTACATTTTTAGAGGGAATGTAAAGGGACGACATCCATACAAAATAGGAGTACCTTGTTCGAAATGTTCAAATAGTAGTGATGGAGGATTATGCTCAGAAGGATTGTGTGGTGAGCATTGTTACAATTATTCTTAGTAAGTATAATTTACTTGTAAATATAAATTAATATGTTTACGTTATACATTTTTCAGTGACACGCGAACAGTGTAAAAAATATAATTTGGATGAATGCGGTAAGCTAAACTTATATACATATGTACAGTACTTTATATAAAATTTAAAAGAATGCGAATCTTAAAAAAATTCAAAAAATTCGGCAAGCCGAGTGTATTTATAGTCTTATTCGTGGTCTCACCTCCTTAGTTGGTAAACAGAAATTCTCACTATTCTTTGTCAGTATCGTATATACTACGCTGTTTAGATGCAACAGAAATTCCGATTTTGCTAATAACTATTCATATAATGTTCATTATTATAATTTAAAATCTCTTTTATATCCCATAATAAGATCCCATAATGTCATCAAACGTTTATTAATTAGTAGTGTTAATGCTATTAGGGAAAATTATGCTCTCGAATTAACAAGTTTGGATTAGAAGTTTAGTGTGAATAGAGACAGCATCTTCTGTTCATTCACAATCATCAGCTTACAATTATACAGTACTGTAATTATGATTTATGATATTATAACAAAATAAAAATAAATATAGTAATTAGATTATTACGTTTAAAAAATACTGTATAATAACTGTAGATTTATATAGATTTCCACTTACATATGCATTAGCATCGTCTTACTTCATATTTATTTTTCTGAGAAGACTAGTGTTAAATTATGCAATATTCCTAAAAACGCATTACTCGAACAAATAGGACCGCTTTATACTTTCTAAGTAATGATAATTTACAGATTCTTCCAAAAACAGAATGCTACCATTTAAAATTATTATATAAGAATATCGTCATGTACATTAAAACATTGGAAAACTGTCCAAGTTTCATATTTGCCCATTACAGTTTCTTAATGGGTACATCTCGTGTCACATTGCACATATCCAACCGATATTCAAATTCTTCCTACACTCGCTACAGCATATCTATTGTCACTCTTCATAGCAGCCACGATTCTATAGCTCCTGCAGATTACTCATGTTACACAATAATGAATGATTCTGCAGAACACAAATACTCTCTCTGTTGGGATGTTACCATTTTTATTTAAGGAGCTCCCTAGAAGTAATATATAACAATACATTTAAATGCAGATGGAAGACGAAAATAAGAGTTATTCTATAAATTGGTATATAATGCATCCTTCTCAGATAATAATTAACATAATTAAAGTAATTTAAAATGGTAGTACTGTATTCATTTTGGAAGACCCTGTATCATTATAGTCATCAATATAAACTTTCTAAAANTAATATTTTTAATGTAATTTTTTCAATTAAAATATGTTAAATTATTATAAATTATATGTAAACAGAACACAAAAATAAACGAAAAAAAAATTTCGAAATTTATTTATTTAAATATTACTTTAAAAATTTTATAGCTTAATTCGTTCTCATATTCACAGAATTCAATCACGCAATGCGAAATCGTTATCAGCTTACTTTACTATTATCACTTTACTACAAAACGATTGTTTTTTTTTCAAATTATGTTATATTGTTTTATACCATTAACAAAATAAAAATAAATATAGTAATTAGATTATTACGTTTAAAAAATACTGTATAATAACTGTAGATTTATATAGATTTCCACTTACATATGCATTAGCATCGTCTTACTTCATATTTATTTTTCTGAGAAGACTAGTGTTAAATTATGCAATATTCCTAAAAACGCATTACTCGAACAAATAGGACCGCTTTATACTTTCTAAGTAATGATAATTTACAGATTCTTCCAAAAACAGAATGCTACCATTTAAAATTATTATATAAGAATATCGTCATGTACATTAAAACATTGGAAAACTGTCCAAGTTTCATATTTGCCCATTACAGTTTCTTAATGGGTACATCTCGTGTCACATTGCACATATCCAACCGATATTCAAATTCTTCCTACACTCGCTACAGCATATCTATTGTCACTCTTCATAGCAGCCACGATTCTATAGCTCCTGCAGATTACTCATGTTACACAATAATGAATGATTCTGCAGAACACAAATACTCTCTCTGTTGGGATGTTACCATTTTTATTTAAGGAGCTCCCTAGAAGTAATATATAACAATACATTTAAATGCAGATGGAAGACGAAAATAAGAGTTATTCTATAAATTGGTATATAATGCATCCTTCTCAGATAATAATTAACATAATTAAAGTAATTTAAAATGGTAGTACTGTATTCATTTTGGAAGACCCTGTATCATTATAGTCATCAATATAAACTTTCTAAAAATTTAATGTCTATTTACTCTTTCTCTTGTTTTCTTAAATACGAATGAAATTTCTATTTAGTGTTATTATTAATAATAAATTGTAATTTATATAATAATTCATTTTTTTAAATTTTATTTACTTTTAAGTTTGTAATCTAAAATGTCATAATTGTGGAATATTTAAAAGAGAAAGTTGCAAATGCGAATGTAAAGATGGTTGGGATCAGCTCGATTGTTCGAGTAAGCTTTTATTTTATATTTTTAAAAATTAATTTTTTAAAATTAAAATTTGTATTTTATTTATATACTGTTTATTTCTTTTTTCATACAGTTTTAAGTAAATTTTACCTATAAAATAGACTATATATACAAGTGTGATCAAGTAAATATATTTTAAATTTTGTAATCATCATAAGATGGCAGCACGACTACAGTGTTACACTCAAAGTTGTGGCGCCATCTGGTATCATAACTTTAAATTTATTATCAAACTTATAGTACAGTACTAGACTACTAGTGTTTATTTATCAGAAATACTGACAAATCCTGAAAATACAGTATTTTGAAACAGAAAAGTTCCTAAAAGTTAATTAATTTTTTTAATTCTTCCCAAATTATTATAACAATATCTTGTATATAACATTTATTTTTTACTCGTTCAGTTCCTTCTTACTTTATTGTGTTGCACTGTATCGTAAAAATTAATAAAACCACACCCTTTTAAAAATCCTGCGCAAGGGCCTGGGNATATAATTAGGTAGTTATATTATATTGGTATTAATTATATGCACTATACAGTATAATTTGATAATAAATTATAATCCACTTATCATTGATAAAATTCAGAGCAAAAACTGAAGATATTTCTAATAAATTTGTAAGAAATTTTCGTTTATCTCTTCATAATCATCTCGAAATTACTGAATTTTATAAACAGTTTAACAAAAATTAATTTTTTAAAATTAAAATTTGTATTTTATTTATATACTGTTTATTTCTTTTTTCATACAGTTTTAAGTAAATTTTACCTATAAAATAGACTATATATACAAGTGTGATCAAGTAAATATATTTTAAATTTTGTAATCATCATAAGATGGCAGCACGACTACAGTGTTACACTCAAAGTTGTGGCGCCATCTGGTATCATAACTTTAAATTTATTATCAAACTTATAGTACAGTACTAGACTACTAGTGTTTATTTATCAGAAATACTGACAAATCCTGAAAATACAGTATTTTGAAACAGAAAAGTTCCTAAAAGTTAATTAATTTTTTTAATTCTTCCCAAATTATTATAACAATATCTTGTATATAACATTTATTTTTTACTCGTTCAGTTCCTTCTTACACTAATATATTATGTTATTCTATATGCCTAATATTATAAAAGTTAGTAAATGTTTTAATATATAAATATTTTTCTTATTAATTTAACATTACCGAATGTGCGTAGAATCTGTAATAATTTATATAATTCTTGATGTTTTTGTACTCTTCGTACACATTACGTGTATATTCATACGTAATAAAAAAGTTTAAGAATAAATAACCAATTAGAATTTGTGTTTCATAAAAACAGTGGCGTTAGATATTGCTGTTAGATGTTTATATTTTTTTAATTATAAAAGTAAATAATAAATTGATTTTTTAAAAGTTTTTCAAAATCCTAATACTGTAATAGGCATCGAATCTTCATAGGCAGTGAAGGAAAGGAAATATATTCGGGTCTTTCCCTCACCACCCGGCCATCTCTATTGTGGGCCTACCCAAACCTACAATGGGTATAATGTATATTATATAAAATGATAGACTACAACAAAAGCGATATTCTTATTAATTTATATCTTTTATATAGAAAAAAGATTTTGAGGACCTTCTAAACGCGATGTAGTAGGCCATTTGCCCCGCTGTCTCCTTTTGTAATAAAGTCTTAATAAAATAGAATAACTATTTAAATGTTAAAAAATAAATTTTTTTCTACAGCTCTTATTATTATTACTTTTATTTTTAAACATAAACTGTATTTTATCATAATATAATTTTTTTTTTAATTACAGGCTTCTTTATTTCCAGGTATCTCCATTTGATGTAGGCTAATGATAACAACATTTTAAAAATCATATACGGAAGTATTAAAATTAATAGTAAGTATAATTCAAAGAAACATGTGATTTGATCTATAAAATTAAGCTGTCTGTCCTTATTATCTTTCTTTAGATATATTACTATAAAAATTAAACATGGAGTATGTGTTGGAGGATGATAATGACATATTAAACCAGCAAATTTTATCCATGTGTGTGAGCGGAGAATCCGAAAATGGTTATTCAACGGATTCAGTTATAACTGAAAAACTTCTCGAAATTGATCTTATTAAAGAAGTGAATGCATTGAGTCCATTAAGAGCAAGTTTATTTCCAAATATACCTCCAACAATTAATTTTTCATGTTTCACGGAGAGAATAAAAGTAGAAATTTTATCAGATGAGATCCAAAAATTACTCAATTGGAAAATGTCTACAATTTCTCCAAGATTAGTTTTACAAATAGTAAATAGATCTGGTTTTAATATTACTGGTCATATGTCAAACTGGACTTCGACTTGGGGGAAATACATGAAATGCAATGAATTTAAAACATTAAAGGAATATCAAAAAGTTAACCATTTTCCCGGAAGTTTTTATATTGGTAGAAAAGATCGTTTATGGTCAAATATCATGAAGATGAATCAGAAATTTCGAGATGAACAATTTTGTTTTATGCCAGAAACATTTATATTGCCTCAAGACATGAAAAATCTTGTTGACATATGGAGAGAAGAAGAAATCAATTGGATTGTCAAACCACCCGCTTCTGCCAGAGGTGCTGGAGTAACCGTCATAAACAGATGGGAAGATATACCCAAAAATATACCTGTAATAGTACAAAGATATTTAAGTCAGCCATATTTAGTGAATGATACGAAATTTGATTTGAGAATTTACGTTCTCGTTACCAGTTTTTATCCTTTAAAAATATATATTTATAATAACGGACTAGTGCGCTTTGCTTCAGTTAAGTATTCAAATTCGAAGAAGCATTTAGGTGAAAAATTTATGCATCTTACAAATTATAGTATTAATTGTAAAAATTCTTCTTATACCGTAAATAACAACGTAGAAATCTGCAATGGCCATAAATGGACTTTAAAATCCTTGTGGAAATACTTACAACAATACAATATCGACACTGACGAAGTATGGTCTTGCATCAAGGATTTAGTCGTTAAAACTATGATAAGTTGTGAACATCCTATAAGTACTCTGGTAAGATCATACACGAAAAATAGATATTCCTGTTATGAACTCTTTGGATTCGATATTTTATTAGATTCTAACTTAAAACCTTGGCTGTTGGAAGTAAATATATCTCCGAGTCTTCATTCTAATTCCGAATTAGATAAATTTATTAAATGTTCTTTAATTAAAGATGTTCTTAATACCGTTGGCCTACACATTCCAAGTCTAGAAATTTCAGTAAAGCAACAACAAGAACTTTTGGCAAAATGTAATATCACGAATACTAAATTCTGTTGCTTTGATAATGATATATATACCAGCAATTTGAAACAAGAAGAAAAAGTAAAGCAAACTCGACACGAACTTGGTTATTGGACACAGTCAACAATTTTAAATAGATTATCCGTTGATGATATTAAAATTTTAATACAAAGTGAAGACGAATTATCACGTTGCGGTAATTTTATACGAATATTTCCTTCGAAAGGTTCGTCAAAATATTTAAAATATTTCGAAAAATCTAAGTATTATAACTTGCTGTTAGATGCCTGGGAAAATAAATATTTTTATAATAGAAAGGAAGGAATTAAATTACTGCTATCTTTATGCAACGATTTAAATAAGAAAGAACTTTAAATTATTAAATGAAATGAATTATTTAAAAATGAATTAAAATTATTTAATAAAATGAATTATTTAAAAATGAATTAAAATTATTTAATAAAATGAATTATTTAACATTTTGGATTTCCTTATATTTTTACTGAATTATTGGCTCACCCTTCAAGGGAAATAAATAAGAACAATGAACTTCAGTAACTCAAAATAAACCGAATATATTTCCTATTATATTTAATATAGGTTTGCATTTTAATAGAAAAATATAGTGTTTTAATTAATTCGTTTGGTTATTTAGTTTTCTATTTTAATAATAATAATAATAATAAACTATATTAAGTAATGGGGAATATGTTTGTGTTTAGTGAGCAAAATTATCAGAAAGTGAGAGCAATTATATTTTTATCCTTACATAACCTATGTAAGGTTTATATTAAAAAAAAAACTAGATATTTTAAACTCTGCATTTATCAATTGATTTTTTACTTTTGTTTTCATTTTATCTAAAATATCATTTGATTATTTTTTGAGTATGATTATTATTTATTGGCTATTTGTTATGAAGTTATTAATATGTAAATAATGAATTATTGGGAAATTTTTTTGAATGGAGAAGATGAAGTAAGCATAAAAAAATATTTATGAAATTTGAAATAAAAATGCAAAAAATAATATAAAAAATATTATATAATATATTATATATACGTGTAATAAGATTTGAAAACTGATTATTGTTGTTATTATTTATCTAACTAATAAAAACTAATTAGTTGTGTGACAGCAAATAGTTATTAGTAAAATAGATATTCCTTTGTAAATAATTGCTCTAACAAAACATTGCTAAAATAAGCTTAATAATAGAATAATTTTAAACCTTTAATAAAAATAATTTTATTTTAAACCTAATAATATACAGAATTTTACAAAAGTAACTTGCAAATTTTTTTTAAGCACTTATGATTTATGATATGATAATATAGTAGCCATTATAATTAATTAATTTTATTATCATTTTTAATTTACAAACTTATTTAGTCAATTTACTTTTTTTCTAATTACAAAGTTATATTTTAGTTTGTTTCTTTAGAAATTATTACATGGCGAAGTTAAAAGTCTAAAAAGCATTACTCCTATTTGATATTTATCATACAGATCATAAAAGCTCCTGTTTAAAAAGTTTATTCCGCAATCCAGTAAACCGTTCATGATCGCTGTTTGCTTACATCCGTTACTATTGTATCTTATATATAATTTTATTAGTAAGTTTGCACTCTATTGCTATTGTATAATCTTTATTGCTATAGCGTAATAGCCTATCGACAAACTAACGCAATTTTTATTTGACAAGTGCTATAAAAAGCTTCTTGAAATAATGTAGAACTAAGTAAAAAACAAAAGGCAATTTTTTAAGAAGACATTTTACGATCCGCTTAGAAAGTAGCGAGAGAGATAATGCATTATTACTATTATTATATAAACCGTTTTTTATTATTATATCAATGATCATGGGCATCCGCAGAAAATTTTTCAAGGCGATAAGCTTAGTGACAAATAATTATCTCAATAAATTTTTTAGATTTTTTTTCACAAGTACTGTACAAGTCCCACGGTTGAGGGTATAAATATCAATCACCTTAACAATTATAATTTATTGAATTTTTACTCGATCCCAGGGAGGGCAAGTGCAGCATTTCCCCCTCTGTGGACACCCATGCTAATGGGATGAAAAAAGCATTTTTCCTATATGACAAAACAATTTAAACGTTACAAATCTAATATTAAACGATAAATATTTTCGGAAATTTTATATACTAAAAACTAAGTAAAAAATCACCAAGTTAAATCATCCAACAACACCCTGTGTATTTAATAGGACTTTGTACATTTCGTACTGTTTAAGTTTTCTATTTATATCACTTCATCAGTCTCTCGCCACTAACTTGTAAGTCAATATATATCGAATATAAATGTTTAGAAACGAACGGGCATAAGCAAAAGCACATTTTAAACATGTGAATTTATGATTGTAACTGCTTTAACATAATTAGGTTCACATTCACTAATGATATCTTCTCTGAAAGAATTAAATTTAAATTATGCTTAGGTAGCACACTCGACAGATGTGTACAAACGCAATGAATTATATTTTTATTTATTAGAAGTATTTAAGAAATATATTTTAATCGAATTTTGAACTGCTTTTGTGGATCTGACTTTTATAGTCCTTGCATGTCTACTGTAAATAATAATTTTATTTAAAAATTATATTTTTATTTCTTTCATTCTGTTTCTTTGTATTAATATTATATGTATTTTTCTGAGATTGTTTAGCTGGTTTTGCTTCACAAAGGTTTCGCTTACTTAAAAGTAAACAAACTAATATATATATTTAGCTTTATTTACCTTAAATAATTATTTTTGTATTATTATAATACGTTTTAGTTTGCTTTAGCATTCCATCAAAATTGTATGCACCAGAAAAATTAAAATTGAAAAAAAAGCTTACGTAGTTTCTATCCAAACGATTTATCTGTTCGGTTCGAATATATGTAGCCCAGGAATGTCAAACACTCTATTGTTTATTGTTTATCTTTGTGGACTTCGGCGGAAGTAAAATGAAGTTGTTTTTAGAGATCAATAGTTAATGCATGATTTTGTTTCATGCAGAAAAAATTTCCGTCTAATAAATAAACTGGAATTTTTTACTAGGAAAGGACTTTCTTCAAGGTCAATACCATTTATAAATATTGATTTAATTTAGGTAGGAAAATGTATTGAAAAAAATTAGTTTTTAATAAAAACTTTTAAAAATTTATTTCTTAAATATTAACTTCTGTTAAAAATAAAATTAACATTTACTTTTTTAAAACATAACAAACACCTCTATATTTATTTCAGTGTTATTCTTACGATACAATTTATTATGAAGATTTGAAAATATATAATTATAACATACCTTTTTTCTAATATGCCTACATATATTGTTTCAATTGATAATTTTAATTACAAATCTATAATTTTATTAGGAGCTAACCTGGAATTTTATATTTCTTTGTATAATAATTTTAACGTTTGTTAATTTTTCAAAAATCTCTTTAGACCATAAAAAACTTTTTATATTTTATTTGCTAATTAAAAATTCAAAATCTAAGTATTTCATTTATTAATGAATATCTTTTATTTATAAAAATATCCAAGTTAAATATATTAATTAAATATTCAGATATTTTTAGTTAAGAAATATTGATACTGAACTATTGATATTGAACACATATTGTAAAATATTATTGTTATTTATTATAAATATATTAAAATATTGTAAACTGTAAAAATTTGCTTAAAATAAAATTGTAAATATTACTAAAATTTTGAAGTTTTTCCTTTATGAAAGTAATAAAAAGAAAATGTAATAAACGCAAAGTTTAGTAATGTTTAAATAAACACGTCAAAAATTAATAGAATATACACAAAAGTAATTGTTACAATCTGCAATAGAAGATAAAATACTCAATTGAAATACTAAATTTTATTCTATTATTTAATTATTCACAATTATTGCGACATTTGATATTGGAAACTATCTTTAAAAAGTTATATTTCGGGAATAAAAATGCATTGTTTTATTACACATAACGAGCTTATTTGAAGTGAAAGTAATGATTATCAAATCCAAGAAAAATTAATTAAAAAATATTTTTTAAACTAAAAATAAAAAGATGGCATTATAATAATTAAAATAATATAAGGAGAAATACAGTATAAATATAACAAAACAATAGTGAAAGATTCTGGAGAAATGTATACGCATCTAACTCTCGATTTACAATGTAAGTTAGTTATATATTAAATAAAAATCGTGTAGATAAAGACTAGCATTTATTTGGAAATTGAAAAAGATTTAAGGTTTTCGTTATCTTTTATTAACCGTTTATAAAATTAACGAAAATGAAGCTTCATTCTGTCATTTGACAGAGGAAAATTTTCTTCTTTCTTCGTTTTTTAATTGAAAATATTGTCACTTCCACTACTATCTTCTTCAATCCCTGTTTTTTCCCTGATTAGTTTACCGAAGAGGTTGATGGACTTCTCTCAAAAAATATTTGTTATCCAAGCTTGTTTTTATTTATATTTAATTATTTATATATTTCCTGATATCAAAGTTCAATGTATAACGCATTTTTAGATTTATGCTTGTTAGTTTCTCTCTTTCATGGAAGTTTTTATCTTGTTCTTTTCCCCCCTTTATCAGTATCAAGTTAAAAACTAACAGCTTCCTATGTTACGACATATTACAAAATGAAGATCATGTCTTTCGACGTGTAAGTTAAAAATCAGTGCAACGTCATAATAATACAAATACAAATACTTTATTGTAATAAGAAATTTCTTGTTACAGGGGGTTAGCTTTAGAGAATTACAAAAAATACAATTACTTATTGAAACATATTTTTTTTAAATATCTTGTTACATAAAATTTGCTAAACATAACATATTAGTCATTCAATTTACATATCATATTTCAAATTCTTTAAAATATGAACAAAAAAGTAATGAATATTATACATCTTATACTATGGAATTTTTTCTTGATTGGTTCTGAAGTTTTCTTCTTAATTTAAATCAAAAAACTCTTTTAATTTGAATTTACATTACGCTTCTTCAATCTTTGGACACTCAGTAAGAATATAATAAATGATTTATAAAAATGATTGTAAAGAACAAGTAGAACTTACATACCCGCTGGCAGAAGAAGTTTAATAAATTAGTGGTAATTATATCCATTCCAGGAGCTGTTTTCGTTTTTAATTTACGAATTGATATATCCAGTTCTTCGATAGATATTGGAATATCTAAACTTTCATTGAAAGAAATTTTTTATATCGGCATAAGGAAGACTGTAATTCCTGTAAATCTGTTAA